TATCTGTTTTGTGAATAATTTTGTGAAATCCTTCTGCTTGCAGATCTTCCGCGGTAATTGTTTTGATAAGGAGATAGAGATATGTAATTCTTATAGCTATCTGGAGTGGATTTCCTGAGCTGTTATTACTTTGAATGTTTTTAATTGGTAGATTATGATCTTTCTTCATGTATTGGTAAAAACATTTGTTGTTTGGTTCTCTGCGCTTTCGTGCTTTATTTTGGTTATAGTGGTGTTTTTGTCTGCATTCAGCAATTTTTTGTTCAAATCTACCGCAATAAGTGCACCAATTTTTGAATGATGGTTTAACTTTGAAGTTTGGATTCTTTTGTAGATGTTTAATATCTGGTTTTTTTTTGCTAATTCATTATCAGAGTGATGAATATTATTTGCTTGTGAAGTTGTTGTCTAGATATTGTTTACATATTGTAGTTTTCAATTTTCTTTTCCTTCTAATTTTATCGCAAATTCAGCTTGTTCTAATTTATCTACTAGCTTTCGAAAATCTATATCAGGTTCTCAAATTGATGATGGATGTGATGCTCTCTTTTTTATTGCAATTCTACGTAGTTTTGGTGTTAGAGTCATCATTAAAATTTCAGTCATTTTTATATTTTTGTAGTCATGCGAGTTCAGGGAATACGCTTTTCGTACTAACGTTTCAATTCTTACTGCGAGTTGTTTCATTGTTTCGTAGGGTAGTCTACAATTTTCATTACATAGGATCCTTTGGTGTTTTGAAATTTCTTCAGGCTTAAACATTTTTGAAAATTCTTGTGTGAACTTTTTCCTGTCTGATTTAATGTCTATAGGTAGAGCTGAAAACCATTTTTGAGCTGCACCATCAAGTGTTGTTTGGATTAGAGCTGTACGTCTAAATATCAATTTTTTATGGAGGGTGTACAAAGTGGTCCTGAGCGTATATTTGAAAATAAAATTGCTGTGACTGCTTATATGATGCTGAATTTTGTCTTTGAGGGAACGGTTGTCTTGATTTTTTTTCAGAATGTGAACAAGGTTTGAAATTATCTTGTTGGTAAAAATTATCTGGTCGATCAGTATTCCAGTTGTTAATTCATGGATTATTATATTGTTGTTGATTTGCATTGAACTAATCTTCATCTTCTGAATAGTTTGGTTGATTTTTGTAAATTGTTTTTTTGTTACATTTTTTTGCTGAAAAAGTGGATAACTTTTACTACGATCAGTTGTAGTTTGTTGATGGTCATTAAAGGAAACTGAGTGAGGGGCTTGTTGTGGTATCTGTTGGTTGTATATTGGTCTTGTGGTTGATTTTGATGACGTGTGTCGGGTTTTGCTAATGGTCTGTTTTTAATATTATTAGCGAGAAAAAAACCTTAATGTGATTTGAAATTTTATTTTTATTTGAATGTTTTTGGTTTTTTGGTTGTGGTGTTTTGTTTATTGGTCTATATGTTTGGTAACCCTTTTTTGAATATTTTAGGACAACAGATGGTTTTAGTGTTGATTGACTGGTTGTCTGTTGGAATGGAGTATTTTTATTGTGTGGTGATAAAAAGGGGAAATGCTTTGTTGCGTTCTTGTAGGCCTCGTTTCAACTATTTCCTCATTTATAAAACGTGATGATGCGGTTTGAATATCTTGTTGTGTACAATTTTTTGTTTTGTTCCATTACGGGTTTCTGGTACGTTTATGAAAGTTGAATTCAAACTATTTCTTGTTCTATTGTTGAACGTTGTGTTTTAATTCAAAGGTGTTGCATCAATTGTAAATGGAGTAACTCTTAAGTAATCTTTGTGTACAGAAACAGTGGTGATTGCTGTTTTTGAAAAACCAGTGGGGATGTTCAAAACTATTGGATGAGACCATTCAGGTACCCAAACATAATCTGTTTGTTCGGCTAACACAGTTTCATCGTCTGAGGTTTGTGACCGAAAATTGTTTCTTGAATGTTGAAATGAAATCTAAATTATGAACAAACTTGTAAATCGATTATGAAGCATGCCAGGATTTTTTGTACGTCAAGTTTTACATTTAGTGATGTTTCATTACTTGAGAAGTTTTCACGGATTGTATCTAGGAATTTTGAGATAAGGTAAATTTCTTGTTTTATGGTTGAGTGTCGAGATGTCTGAAATGGTGATTCATTTTGAGTTTCATCTAATTCTAAAACAGATATATAACTATAATTAATAGAGAAAACATCGTTTGTGAAGGTTGAATCTACTCTTCGTGAATGGTGATGTTGTATATCTTTTATGTACTTTGTGAAGACTTTTGAGAATTCTAGATCTATATCATCTGTTTGTATTTGATGCGGTGTTTGATTTGGTTGTGCTGGTAAAGTTTCAATAGTGAATATCCGTAATAAGAAGTGATATTACACATGCCTTTAACATAGTGATCAAAAATTAGTCTTTTAACTCCTCTTTCGGTAAATTCTTGTGTACATGGACTATTTCCTTTTTAGAATAGATTTGCAATTAGGTTCTGACAAACCTGTAGTTGTCCTCGAGCGGGATCGCTTTGTGGATGTATAACAACAGAAAGTATGGAGTCATTGTCAAAATATTTGTCTTGTTACATCATTTTTTAAATCTTTGGACTTTTAATGCGTAACTTTCAGTGTCTTATTGGTTGATTCCAAGTACATAGTCGTACTTAGTCGTATTTGTTAATATATGAATTTAATTTTGCGTTTTTTTTTTCATTGATGATAGTGATGTGGATTCTGAGTCAGAAAAGTACTCTATTGAAATATTTTTCTCTTTTGAATCTTTTACCTCCTGAAGTTTATGTTTTGTTGTTGTGTCTGATTCCGAAACTGCGCTACGTGTTTTTTGGAATTCTTCGTTTTATGATTTTGATTTGTTTTGTTTTGCCACAACTGCCTCTTTTTGTATTTGTCTTTTCCATCTGTTATGTCCTATTGTTTGATTAGGTTGTGTAATTACAAGATCGTATCTTTCGTCTTTGAATAAACAATTGTGTAGTATTATTGTTTTTTTACTTCCTAGATTAACTTTTGACAAAAAGCTTAGGATGATGGATACAAAATTCAGAGGTTGAAACTTTTAATTTTTAAACAGTTAGCTCTTACGGTTTTTGCAAGATTATCTTAAGTTGGGGCGTAGATTGTCGAGGTTGACGGGTTGAAGAGAGAGTATATCATTCTTTTTTATTCATCAATTAGTTTTATTCTAAGAAAAACCTTCTTAATCTTACCTAGGGTTGTGATATGTGATCAAGGGTTTATAATGCGGTGTAATTACATATTCGTATCTTTCTTCCTATTTGAGTCATTTATGACAAACAATTGTTTGTTTAGATCCTAGATTATCTTTTGACAAAAGTGTTAGAGTGATGGGAGCAAAATCCAAGCGTTAGGTTTTTTTTTTTCCTAAACTGTTAGTCCTTACAATTTTCGCGAGGTTATTTTAATCCTGGGGGATAAATTGTCGAGTATAGACGGGTTGGAGAGAGAGTATATCAATTAATTAGAATGATTTCAAACTTTCTCAATTGGTTAGGTTCTATAAAAAACTTAGCCTGGGTCATCTAAGAGGGTTTTAGCCTGGGTCATCTAAGAGGATGGGCTCAAGTTAAGGATGAGTAACCGAAGTTCTTCATTGTTTATCTTAATTATAATGATTAGTTTTTCTAAAAAAATTCTATTAGTCTTGGGTTTTTTGATAAGGGTTGGAGAGTGAATCGACATTTTAGGTCTTTGGACATTTTAACTTATGAAGTGGGGAGAACAAAGTAGTTCTGATTGATCCAAGGAAAACCTTGTAGATCAGTTAATCTGATTGACCTAAATTTTTATTTAAAATGAAATTAAAGATCCAAGGAAAGCCTTGATGATCTGTTTTTGAGAAAGTTTCAATTCATCAAAAGGCAAGGACAAGCGTTGAGAAGAGAATTGCAACAACTTCAAATGATGTTAGTTTTTAAATAATTTCTGTTATGTTTTAGGCAATGAATCGGGGATGAAGAAAAGTTGTTTTTATTTCGAAGCAAAAAATTTTTTTTAGTTTTAATAAAGTTAACGTTAAAAGTTTACTATTAACTAATTTTTATTTTTTTTATTCAAATTTTTAATTTTACAAAAATTTTTAAAATTATAGTACTGCAGATTTTAAAAGAAACGATTTGTGCATCTTTTTATCAGTTGTTATCCTTTTTATACATTATGACTATAAAGCACCAATTGGTTTTTGAAGAGGTTAGGTGTTTCTTCAAATAGATTAAAATTCATGTCAATAGATGACACTTCAAAATTACTGCATAGAGGGTTCTGAAGACTTTTACTTTTTGCGGTTTGCGCTGTACTATCATGTAGTATCTTGGTCCGTCGTTCAGTTGATGTTCACGCCGTAATCTTGGTCTCGTTCAATACCTGGTATTTCTCGTATTTTTTGAAATGTTGGCATAGCTTCACTGAGACGTAAAACATATCTATTAAATTGTCTATTCTATCTAACATTTTTGCAATTTTGCAATTTTGGTCTTTTTTTAATTCTATTTTGCTTAATCTAAATTATTTAAGGTCTTGTTCGAGACTTTTGGTTGCACAAAATGAGTTTAAGCCAGATATTGCTTTCTCATAGAATACTTTCTGATAAAACCACACTGTCTGTTCGTCACGCTATCTTATTTTCGGCCGGATAGATTCGTGCAACTTTTTAGTCCAATCTTAATCTTACTCTTATATCTCCTAGTCTCAAAAGATCCTGGTATTTGCGAGTTAGTCAAAGATACTGTTTTTTGCGAGTTAGTCTTCGAGCTTGTCAGTGTTAGTGATGGAATACGATTGGTTAGTTAGTAATATTTTATAGGGATAGTTTTTTAATATAATTGGTTTATAAATACTAGTCCAGAACTAGTTCCAACAGACTAAAAAAGCTAAAATAAGCTCAATAATTATCCATGAAACTCCAATGCGGTTATATAATGATTGATCTAAAATGAAGTTTTTGTTGTTTCACTTTTTGAAGCTCATTTTTATTATGACTCACATCAGAGTTTCTGTTCATCCCGTTGATACGAATATCTCCCGTTATTTCCCCATTGGACACTCGATCAGCGAGAATGTCCAGAAGAGTAGTCTTGCCACTTCCAGAGGGTCCCATCAGGGCCATGATTTCTCCCCTGTTCACGCGACCAGTGATGTTCTGCAGTAGCTCTTTGCGTTCCTTTTTCCAGGGCAGACCACTCGATGGAACTGTGTAGGAAATGTTCAGCCATGTCATCGAGTACCATTCTTGTATGTTCATATCTAGAAACTAATCTCTTTCAGTTTTCAAAACACTTAGAGTAATTGAAAACTATAAAACTGTCTGGTACTTGGTGGCGGGGAAATATGCACCAGGGGAAATGCTCAAAACGATGCCATATGTGCTGTAGCATCTTTTGTTATGACTTACAATAGCAGCAATTATAATCTAATAAATTCTCCAGTTGTGTATAACCCGCATTTGAGAAAAGTGGGAAAAAAATCTTAATGAATTTTTACGGTCTAAAATACTATCAATTTAATCGGTTCCCATGTTACGCTCAGACAACAAAATTGGATTGAAATTGGATTTAAATCTTTTATTCCGCAAAAATATAATGCATTATATTTCATTTGAAATCCATGATAATGGATTATATAATAAGTAGAAAATCAAAATGAAATGGGTTTTTTTCACTTTCCGTGTTTCGCTTGAAAAGACATATGAGTTGATAGCAAAACACATTCTAAAACCAAAAAATTAGATTGGAAACATGATAATAATCATTGGGGTAAACACATCCACCTGAACCAATCCATCCTTACCGCCAGAACCAATTCCAACACCCCCCCCCCCCCCCCCCGCGGCAGGGTGACAATCAGTAACAGGCGACAATTCGTGACAAGCAAAAATTCGTAACAAGGCATTCGCAAGTAGAACACGCTCGCTCCGCTGCGCTCACATCCGGCACGAGATGAATAATGCGCGTGAATCTGTGTTACCCGCCGAATCTGCTGTTACGAATTGTCGCTTGTTACGAATTGACGCCTGTTACGAATTGTCGTCTGTTACGAATAGTCGCCTGTTACGAATTGTCGCCTAACAAACCCCCCCCCCCATCGCTCCGCCAGAATCAACCACAACCCCACCTGAACAAATCCCCCAACCTGAGCAACCCGCCACCGCATAAATCATCACCCCGCCCCCACCCGAAACTGTACTCCCTCTCCACTTGAAGCAGCCCGCCCCCATCACCCCTCGGTTCTGGCGGGGGGAATTTGGTTCAAGTGGTAGGGTTGATTCAGGTGGGAGGTTTGTTCAGGTTAGGGGGCGGGTGGTTCAGGTGGGGGTTCAGGTCAGGGAGGCGGTGGGGTTGTATCTGGTGGGGGGAGGGCTGGATCAGGTGGGAGGGGGTTGATGCAGGTGGTCTAGTTTTGGGGGGTTGGTTTATCAAAATTGTTGAACCAACAAAGTTGAGAAATTGAGTAATATAAAAACAAAACAAAAGTCTAAGTTGCACAGAAAAAAGTTGAATTTAACCACAAATATTCAACAATAGTTTAATAAGAAGGAAAATTTTTCTGTGCATTGAAATTTGCATCTGAATAAAGTGGAGAAAAAAATGGTTATATTGGAGTTTCGTTGTTTTTATCTATAAAAGTGAAGAAAAAAAATGATTATAATTGATTTGCAATGGATTTTTGAATACTAGCTATATAACTTATTTTTAATTGATTACAAACCGGTTTGTTTTTACAATTATAGAAACTGATAAAAAACTCGAATTTAATTAAATTTTATCTATGAAACTTCAGTGCGTGAATGCTTTTGCTATGTTCAATCATGAATAAAGTTCTGTTTAAAGTCTGCAATTCATAACAGTTATAATTTCCTATGATTTTTGTCTTGAATGGAAAGAAAACCAGACTGTTTGTTTAAGGGCGATGACTAAAATATTTCGGCAGCTTTTTAAGGTCTGTGGATCAGTATTCGTTTAAAAAAATAAATTCAAATCCTTTTGGACTTTTACAATTTTTCCCTAGTGATATCTTTTGCATATATCAAAATATTAATAATAGAACAAGTTTGATCCCGTATCGACTTTTTACGAAAATTTAACTTATCATAGAAATTCTTTTGAGATGTACAGAGATTTTCCGTTAAAAAGTGTCGGGATTTTTTTAAGACTTACTGATAAGAAAAATCTAAGATAAGATAACAAATTTTTCACAAAAACGACTCAAATTGTTAAAATAATAAAAAAACTTGCCAAAAAACCAGTGTGTTTCTAAACCAAATAAAAAACCAATTTTTGAAAGATAATGTTTTTCCAATTTAAGCAACTAAAAATTTTTAGATTTGCAGCATACATTTTGAACAAAATATCCGAAACAAAATTTTGATTTTTTTTTCAAAAAATTTTTTGGTTATTTACTTTTAGGGGTTAAAAATTATTTTGGACAATCATCTTTGACAAATCACGACATATAGCTCCGGACGTAGTGTATGAAAGATGCAGCTACATTTTGACAAACTTTCATGTAATCAGCAAAACATCTAAATCTAAAAAATCGTCGTTACTTCAATCATCTCATGTGACGAATCGGCGGATAATTCTAATAAGTTTCAGTCATTGTACTCTAAGACAACTGATTCATACTTAATTGGTTTTGCGAAAAAAAAAATATTAAGAAAATTGATTTTGAAAGTTATAGGTTTTGTAAAAATTTCTTATCTGAAAACTTTTTGTAGCCTTTCTGAGCGGATTGGATTTATTAGCCCCAAACTAGAAAATTTCAAAACCCATAGTTTTTCAAAACATGATCTCAGGTAAAAATATATTTTTAAATTCAAGCTCAGGGTATTACTGGCTTTCAGATGATATTAAAATTTCGGTTCAAAAACGGTTGGTTGAGAAATCGAAAATGATCTGGAGAAAATAACCACGCCGAGCACAAAAAATGTCACCATTTTTGAAAAATTGGAACAATAATCTGATCCCATTACCCATTCACCAATTGCAAAAACAAATGTTCAACTGTTTTGTACTCTCTTAGTTAATTAAAACTATTCGAGAGTTCATGAGTGCAACTTCGAATGTTTTTTAAAAAAAACCTCTTAAGACAATTGTAAGATAAGCATTTTTTCATGCAAAATACAATCAATTGTTTGGAGAAAGTTTGTCGTTTAACATTTTATTCTTGAAGCCAATTTAATCAACGCACCTATTCACCGAACTGTGGTGATTTTTAAAAATTGTCCATCAAATTATAATAGGCAAATTAAGTCGTTATATACTGATTGATTTCTTCAGTATATAGGTTTGAAAGCAAACCAGTTTTTCAATCTGATTAAATTTTTCTTGATTTTTCTTCTAGTTTTCTAAATTTTTGTGGAATTTTCTTTTTATTGTTTTTTTTTGCAATTCAGTCACTATCATTTTCCTCTTGCATGCAACTATTTGATATCTGTTTTTGAGGGCATTAACTGGTTTTTCTTTGACAATAGTAACTTCAAACAGCAATAATTTCATGAATACACCTCTATCAAGGCAAAATTACAATTATCCGGCTGCATTTTAAGCCAATTAAAATGTTTTTTGGCTGACCATTTGACAAAATTATTAAAGAGAAAAAGTTTTTTTTTAATTTTTTTTTCTTCAATTTATCCCAACATACGCTAATTCAAAATACAAAATCATGTATTTAGCATCTCGTATCATATTAAAAAAGACCAAATGACTTGTTTTAAGTTGGAACGTATCAGACTGCCGCTTACGCGTGTTATAAGAATTCAATATACAGAAACTGGTCAAATTGGCAGTTTTCAAGCCCCCATAACTTTAACAGAATTAGCACAGGTAAAAATTGTATTAACATTTGAAATCCGGTCAATTATGTTTTCATAAACTTCGGGCCAAAATTCGAAAAATGGCTGAATAGAAAACCACTCCAAGCATAAATATTCAGCTTTTTCTTCAAAAGTCAGAACAACCAGACTGTTTGCATCAGGGCCAAGTACTGAATATTCCGACTGCGTTTTAAGGTGTATGGAGCAGCAATAACATGGAAAAATTTAATGTAAAAAAATGAAATGCCTTTTTTTCAATTTGGTTTTTTTTTGTGAAAATTATTTCCGTGCACGCCATATAAAGTACAAAGTGGTAACTTTTGCTCCTAGTGGCAAAGAAATTATGGCAAATAATCTTCCTGGAACCAATTTTGACAGTTTTCTAAGACGAAAGAAATCTCCGCTTATGCCTTAATAGCGCGAAATATATCGCGTGTTTATCGTCCCAAATTGGCCGAAATGGAAAATTTCAAACGCCCATAGTCTTATGGAAAATGATCACAGGTGAAATATGTATGTTTTTATTTTTTTAAAATTAAATCAAAATTTGTCTGAAGAAAAAAACTGCCCCGAGCACAAATATTTTGGTTTTTTCGTTTCGAAAGTCGGGTCAACATTGTTAAAATGAAGTAAAAATAGATCACGCACAATTTCAGGAAGAAAATTTTTACGGCGTACAGTGATGCATAATTTGTATCAATTAGCTTGTCTTTAATCATATTGAACTTAAACGAGCCATATTAACCCGGAAAACCCGAAACTTTGCGCTTATTTAATATCCCAGTTTTGCTAAATCACCATTTGTCAAATCCTAGCAACTTAACATCAAATAATTGCAATTAAAATAACAATTAGTTTTTGAGCTTAAAATAGCAGTATGTTTTTTATCATGTAAAAATTTTTTATTTAAAAACTGAAGTTTGTCATGAAAAAGAAATCACCCCAAGATCTACTATAATAATATTTTTTCTTAGCAAATATCAATTATTAGTACAAGAGACAATTTTCGTTTTTTACCGCATGTTTTTAATTACTTTTTCAATTACACAACATTTTCATTCAAATGTTGTGCTTTTTTTTCAGAACACGAGATTTTCGCTCATAACAACGCAAACCCGAAATGCATCAGTTTCTAGGCTTCGAAATTGACCTGCTTTATTACTATTTCACCCAAAGTTTTTGTCTAGCTACTTGTAACAATTTTTTTAGTTTAACAGAAAATCTATGAACATTTGCTTCTTCAATGTGTTTTTTAACAAGTAAAAATTTTTGTGTATAACTTTCAGTTTAAAAACTGAAGTATGTCATGAAGACTGAAGTCACAACAAGCACTACTACTACGTTATTTTCTTTCATAATACTTTTCCAATATAAGTATAAATTAAACTTTTCGTTTTTTTACCGCATTTTTTTTTTCAATTACTACAAAA